GAGTTACCTCCTCTTTGACGAATTTATTTCTAGATTCAGCAATAGGACGTTTCTTTTGTCTTACCAGAGGAATGCTGCGATCCAACCTTAGCTTGTGTACGGCCACTTCCGTCATGATACCTATCATATCCGATACCACCTCTTAGACGATACCAACCTTAGCTTGTTCTTCTTAGACGATACCACCTCTACTACACTGACGTTAAGTTGTATTCTAAAAGCCTGAGATAGGAAGGATCTCGAGAGCCTGATTCTTTCTTGTCCTGTAGCGATATGTTGTTTCGGCCGTGATCAGTTCTTCTGTCAGTAACGAACTCGTTTGCTGACGAAAACCTCTGTCACATTCTTCAACCTATTTGTAAGGCAAAAATCGGCCCCTCGAAGACCATCTGTCTGTGTCGAATTTGTCTTTTGATTTTTCTTTATAATTCTCCCCACCTTTAGCCGATGGGGGGAAGCCAAACTGATCATCCTAAATTCTTATCTTTGACTCGTTCCGGTTGTGAACATCCGCCCAAGTAGTTGCTTAGAATTCGAGCAAGCTTTCCTTCAACTTTCGAGAGGTATCAAAACTTCTCAAATTCAAACCCTTGGTGAATGCTTCAGCCGCCCATTAATCCGGAATATCCAAGAGCAACATCCTTTCCTTCTGGAACCGGGTTACGAATTTCCGTAGCAACTCAGACTCTCCTTGTGTAATTCTGAATATGTCAGCCTTCCGGGCCTGCACCTTTCTGGTCCTGGCATGAGCTTTAATAAAAGAATCTGCGAGCATCTCAAAGGAATCTATGGAATGCTTGGGTAACAAAAAATACAATGTCAGGGCTCCCCTCGTGAGAGTATCTTCTAATTTTTTTCATCAAAACAAATTTGATCTCATGGGGAGCTAAGTCATTCCCCTTCACCGACGTTGTATAGGTGGTAATATGCTCCTAAGGGTCCGAAGTCCCATCATATTTTGGCACGTCAGGAATTTTAAACCGCTTCAAGATCAATTCTGGTGCCACGCATGGTTTGTACAACAACTGAGTATACTTCTTTAAATCCGGCCCTTTCAGCATCGGTGGTGCACCCGAGATTTGTTCCATGTGGGCTTTTACTTCCCTCATAAATCGTAAGAGTTCACTTTTGAAGGAAAGCATATCGTCTATATAAACTTCCATTGTTTTCCCTATTTGTTTTTTAAACATCTTGTTTACGAGCCGTTGATAAGTGGATCCGGCGTTCTTTAGCCCGAAGAGCATCACATTATAGAAATACGTGCCAAAATTTCATATCAACGAAGTCTTTTCCAGATCCTCCAGGTTCATCTTAATTTGGTTGTATCCAGAGTAAGTATCAAGGAAACTTATTAACTCGTGTCCAGCCGTTGCATCAATCATTTGATCAATATTTGGCAGTGGGAACGAGTCCTTTGGGCACACCTTATTCAAGTCCCTATAATCTACATACATGAAAAATTTATTATTCTTCTTAGGAACTACTACTCCATTACCTAGCCAGTCTGAATACATTAACTCTCGCATCAAACCAATATCGAGTAAGCGAGTTACCTTCTCTTTGATGAATTTATTTCTGGATTCGGCAATAAGATGTTTCTTTTGTCTTACCAGAGGAATGCTGGGATCCAAGATTAGCTTGTGTACGAACACTTCCATCGGGATACCACTCATATCTGCATGCGACCACACAAAACAATTGGCATTAAACTTAAGAAATTCAATAAATCCAGACCTGAGCTAGGGGCGTAGTCCTGTCCCCAAGTGGAATTTCCTCTCCAAGAACTTTTCAAACAATGTGAGTTACTCAAGCTCTTCCGATGTGGACTTTGTTGCATCTGTCTCTTCTAGTACCTAGAAATATCTTGGCACCTAATAAGATTCTAATGCTTCTTCCCCCTGGTTAGCTTTACTTGACTCGGGAGCAGGCGCCGGTTCCTATAATTGCTATGTCGCATGATCCCTCCCTTTGCTAATGGAGAACGAAATTGCCTTCACAGCCCTTGTCGTCGATTGGTTGCCTTTTATCTGTTTAATCCTCTCATGAGTTAGGAATTTTAGCAACCGATGATATGTTGATGGTACGGCTTTCATCCCGTGCAACCATGGTCTTCCCAGAATAATGCTATAACCCATATCACCTTCCAGAACCTCAAAAAGGGTCGTCTTCATCGTCCTCTCAACATGTGTCGGTAGCAGGATCTCTCCTCAGGTTGTCATGCTTGCGAGGTTGAACCCGACGAGGAGTTCTGCGGCCGGAATGATGCTTCCGATAAGTTTGGATTTCTCTAATACCCTCTATTGTATGATATTGGCCGAACTTTCTGGATCCGCTTGAACACATTTGATTTTAAAATCTATTACATTTAAAGAAATTACCAATGTGTCATTGTGTGGTGGCAATAATCCGTCTACATCTTCCTTCATGAAAGTGATGTCGTCCTCAACGACTTCCTGGAGCCTTTTGCCATGGGTTACTATTACCTTCATCTTTTTCGCTACCAAGAAAGTAATCCCGTTAATCTCGTTCCCCCGAAAATCATGTTGATCATCTAGTGCGGGGTCTTCTACTATTTTTGTGGGCTCCTTGTTGTCACGGTTGCGACAGTAATTATTTTTGGCCTAGTGACTTATGGATTCCCTAAGATGGCCATTTTTCAGTGGTGTCGCCACCTCTTCACGTAGATGTCGACAGTCCCCAGTTCAGTGATCATTCATCCTGTGGTATTCGCACCACAAATTAGGATCCCTCTGGCTGGGATCGGACCTTACCGGCTTCAGGAACCGTGCTTCTTTAATGTTCCTCATAGATGATACCACCTCTACTACACTAACGTTAAAGTTGTATTCTGAAAGCCTGGGATAGGAAGGATCTCAAGAACCTGATGCTTCCTTGTCCTATAACGATATGTTGTTTCGGCTGCGACTAGTTCTTCTGTCAGTAACAAACTCGTCTGTCGAACGGAAACCTCTGTTGCATTCTTCAGACCATTCGTAAGGCAAAATCGACCCCTAGAAAACCATCTATCTATGTCGAAATCATCTTTTGATTTTTCTTTATTCTTTTCCCGACCTTTAGCCGATGTGGGGAAGCCGAACTGATCATCCTTAATCCTTATCTTTGACTTGTTCCGCTTGTGAACATCCGCCTATATCATTTCTTAGAATTCGAGCAAGCTTTCCTTCAACTTCCGGGAGGTATCAAAACTTCTCGAATTCAAAGCCTTGGTGAATGATTCAGCCGCCCATTCATCCGGAACAACCAAGAGTAAAAACCTTTCCTTCAGGAACCGGGTTACGAATTCCTGTAGCAACTCAGACTCTCATTGTGCAATTTTGAATATGTCAGCCTTCTTGGCCTACACCTTTCTGGTCCCAGCATGAGCTTTAATAAAAGAATCCGCGAGCATCTCAAAGGAATCTATGGAATGCTCGGGTAACAACAAATACCACGTCAGGGCTCCCCTCGTGAGAGTCTCTTCGAATTTTTTCAGCAAAACAAATTCGATTTCGTGGGGAGCTAAGTCGTTCCCCTTCGTCGACATTGTATAGGTGGTAATATGCTCCTAAGGGTCCGAAGTCCCATCATATTTCGGCACGTCAGACATTTTAAACCGCTTCAGGATCAATCTTGGTGCCGCGCTTGGTTTGTACGGCAACTAAGTATACTTCTTTGAGTCCGTCCCTTTCAGCACCAGTGGTGCACCCTGCGATTTGGTCCATGTAGGCGTTTACTTCCCTCATAAACCGTAAGAGTTCACTTTTAAAGGAATCACTCCTGTTATTGTGACCGGAACCGCTCTCCCCGGCCCCATCGAAGCTGAACATACCTCTCAGGGTGTTGTCAACCCTCTATGTTGTTTGATTTGCGGGAGCACCGGAAAGAACCAGACCTCGTCCGTTAGTGTTATTGGAAGCACCCGATAATGCCTGCCTTAGTTCTGTCATAACCTTATCCTTCCATGTGAGATGACCTAGAATGACCTCTTGTTGCTCCTGCAGGACCCTTACCGCTTCAACAATATGCTCATCTTCAGCATTATCAGGAGTCGCCTCCCGAACATGTCACGGGTATCGCCTACAGTGGACCGGCGTGGCATCGTTCCCCTCATTATATGTATCACTGATTGAATCCTCGTGCTGAGGCTGGTCTTCTTAGGCCTCAAGATTGTGTGTGTTGCTAACACCATTTTCTGTCAATTTTTGTGATTTTTTGCTAAAAACAAGCAATCAAAATACGTTAGTAAAAGAAGGCAAGGACCAACTTAATTACATGACTGTCTAGGCCCCATGGTGGGCCCAATCTATTTACCCGTAAAACGGTACAGTTTAATCTATATGTGATTTCTAGACAAGTTAATTAATTTGATCCGGAAAATAATAAAAGAATTAAATAAATATGCAATACTTAGCCTTGAGATGAAAATGAAACAGCAGAAATAGTAGTTCCGGGAGCATGGCTTGCAGGTATAATAGCAATAAAATCAAAAAGTAAGATGATAAAATTGTATAAAGCTTTGAACAGATTATAGCATAAGTTGCCAGAAAATTCGTGTCCATACAATGATAATATGACTCACTATTTATAACTGCACATAGGGAACAAGGTCCTAGGATCATGCCCTTCTTTAGTTTCAATTATAAGGGTCATTGAAGAATGTGTAACGGCATAAATAAATAACAAATTCTTTATAATGGACAGAGTACTAAATGTTATAGAATATTCCCTATTAATTAATATTGTCGGGTGGTAAGTGTTAAGGTTAGTGATACTCCAAGTCATCAAGAATAGTAATTCAATAATATCTGTTGTATTTTTTAACAGTAAAATATTTGAATTTTGTATAATCGATCTTATACTCTGTATCTATTTATACCGTGAATAAACAGATGAAAGAACAAGTTTCAGTACTGCTATTTATTCTCTTATCAAAAACTTTATATGGTATCAGGGCATTGATCCGTATTCATTATTTTTTCCCCAACTTTTCTGGTAAAACTATGGCTTTATCTGGCACTAATAATATCACCCATGCCTGTCGCAAATCACTGGTTGCAATCAATGATACTCAACTTTCATTAAAGCTGTCAACTCAAAATTACTCCACATGGCGTGCCAGATTACTCCTCTTCTTCGAGGGCGTGTCCCCTTGACCACTAAACTACACTTTTGAATTATGTTAAGAGGTCCAAAACTTAATATATAGAGATAAAAAACAGATTTTGCCTTATATATATAGTGTAATTTTTCAGGGAACCCCTTGCGCCCCTAAATCCGCCCCTGACTGGTACTATTTCTCCCCCTCCTATTCTCGTTGAAGAAGAAGGCAGAAGTATCGCCAACCCAGACTATAAGTTTGGGGAATGTCAAGCTCTGTTAATCCTCGCTGCTATCATTGCTTTGGTTTCTTTTTCAGTTATGAACACCATTGCAGAAGCTAAAACCTCAGTGGAGGCATGGAATAAACTTCAGGTAGCCTTTTCCAATAAATCGGCTACACGAATTCTTTCTCTTCGAGAAAAACTCTCACACACCAAGCGTGATTCTCGCCCAGTAGCTAAGTATCTTCAACTTGTCAAGTCAATTGCGGAAGAACTCTCCTTGTGTGGCGGTCCTGTAAATAGTGTTGATCTTATTGCTCATGTTTTGGGTGGAATTGGCTTTGAATTCCGTGATATTGCTGCGGCAATCCATGCCCGAGACACTGTCATCTCGTTTGATAAACTCCAGGATAAACTACTTGCCCATGAACTATATCTCAAGCAGATTGACCACAACTTCGATCCGACCCCGACGACAGCAAATCATGTTCGCAAGGGAAATTCTAGCAGGCCACCCTATCAATCAAGACAAGGTAATAATGGTAAACCTTCCACTCAGTCCAATGGTTTCCATTTTTCAAAGAACTCTTCAAGCTTTGGCAATAATGCATCACGCCATCAGTCCTTTGTGCCCTCATCCCAACACCGAAATAAGGCTAATTGATTCTCTAAGTCATCAAGAATAGTAATTCAATAATATCTGTTGTATTTTTTAACAGTAAAATATTTGAATTTTGTATTATCATATTTATAGGTCTTGATAAGATCATGTAGCAGTTGTTAATTGCTCTGGATAAGATTTGTAAACAATCTTATACTCTGTATCTATTTATACTATGAACAAACAGATGAAAGAACAAGTTTCAGTTCTGCTATTTCCTCTCTTATAAAAAACTTTACCGTAGGCATTTATTTTCATCTTTACGAGCATTATTCCTTCCTGTAACTGATGGAATAGTTGTCTTCGATTTTAACTATCCTCCGTCTTCGGCTCCACGTATAACTCCCTTATGCAATTATTCAACATATCATATTTTACTCTATACAATATAAAAAGTAATTATAAACAAAGTAAAATATAATATATTAGTTAAGTTCTATGTATTGTTAGTGAATTTTTTTTACTACAATCAAATCACCTATAAGATAATTCCAAGTATATATTTTTATGATAACATTAATTGGTAATATGATTAATGATAACTATCCTAATATTACATGTCAAACTTCATTGATAATTAAATAAAAAATTTATTGTGCAATCAGTGCATATGACTTTAAATTATAAGGCCACCTTACGCTTTTGCTTGCCTACCTGCATATACTGAAATAAATTTAGATAAGTTCAAATTTTAATTTCTTTGTTTTTATGAGCGATTGTTATTACTGATCTCTCAAATTGAGTCATCATGTAAACCACTAATCTATGTATGGTTCTGGTATTCGCTGAACAATCACCACCTTAATGTTGTGGCCAAACGCACATGCAAGTATACTCAGTTATCAAATAAAAAAGTGACTAAAAGTCGAATGTCGAATTCACTAGGACTTATGATTAACTAGTAACTAAATTAGATTATCCTAATTATCTAAACAAGAATTAAACCTAGAAGTATTTGATTGTAAACTAATTAAAATAAAGAAAAACAAATAGTGAACTCTGAATAAAAGAATAGTAGATTTTTACGTTATCAATGCGATGAAAACGACCTAGGGTTATGGGCTATCTAACATTCATATTGTATTTTTCAATTGAATTGACTAACTAATTTATCTAGTTTATTGGTTAACAGGGTTAATATTACTCATAAGAATCTGTTGAGTTCTTACTCGCCTATTCAAGCTAACTTAACGCCTATATGTCTATGGAGTTAGAATCAACAAGAACACATTTATAATTCTTGTAAATCAACCAAGCAAGACAATTAGATATATGTCTATCCTAACCGCGAATCCGTTCCCCGATGCTCAGGTTCAAGAACTTGCTCAACTCAATCCTATATGCAATCTAGAATTTCCACTTTCGAGTTTGACTCTAGATTCGTAGATAGTATTTCATTGGTGATCAAGCAATCAAATAATTAAGCGCAGGATTGAGTAAATAAACTAATACGACAAATTAAGAGATCAAAATCAATATCTGAATAACAATAGTCATGAAAGAACCACAATCCTAGAACGTGAGGTTTGGCTCCACATAGACATGGTAGCCAACAAACAAATCATACAAAAAAATATAAAAATTACTAAGTTTGGTGGAAGAGCGATGGAATCTGATGAATTTTGGCGGCGGCTCTGTTCTTGTGTTTTCCTCTCAAAAATGCCCCCCTCTCAAAATAGGTATATGTTGTCTTTTATATGAGTTGGGGGCGTCTTGGGATCGAAATAACCGAGTCCTAGTCGAAATAGGACATGTTTACATTTTGAGCGTCCAGGGCAGCTTGGGGCGCTGACCCTGGCGCTCAACTTTTCAGCATTCTGTTTTGAGCGCCTCAAGTAGCGCCCCACGCTGCCTGTGTCCCTCAAATGTACACTTTTGCCTTTTCTTTTCATTTTCGCTCCAATTCGTGCGCTTTCGTCCCAAATCACATCCGAATGATTCATACACATAGAAATACCACAAATTAGCATAAATTATTATATTATATATTTGTAATCTACTAGACATGAGCACAATGTGAGGTAATATATGTAAAAATATGCATACTTTAAGACAAACATCAATAACCCACACTTAAACGTTGCTCGTCCTTGAGTCAACCAACAATTTACTCTATCTTTGAGCACTTAACATCTTAACACATTTGGAGCACACTACACCAATGATTGTGGTTAATAACAACAATTAAACTGTAGCATATGCAATCACATACACTTTCCTTTAGTTATGTCATTCTTCAAAAATATTTACAACAAAGACAACGTGCTTGTGACAATCCTAGCCTCAATAACCGACTCAATGTCACAATGCATTTATGGCTTGAACACCCTGTCACACCTCCTTTTTACCGTGCCCGCGGGGCGCGTGGGGAGTTTTCTCCAATTGAAGGACAGTCGA